TTATTTTGCTGCTTGAGACACCACTCTGGACACACGCAGCTGAACTGGTCTATTGGGCTGTCCAGGCATGGCAAGGGAAAACAAGGACTTCTGATATATCAAATAAGCTGTTTGTAAGGCAAGACATTGTAAACACCTTTGCAGCAACAGAAAACGTGAAGGGTAGAACATTGTAGTAAAAATGCCTGTCCTCCTACCCACCCGATGTCCCCCAGCGGTGTTAGAACAGCCTGACTGCTATATGGAAGCTGACATTTTTCATACTGAAAATCCCAATCCAGTCTTGCACTGCGAGGCTAGGATTTCTAGTGCACCAGCATTAGTATATGGGAACTTGAACATCTTATTGTATTTGGTCAAATTTCTTAAGCCCATGTTGAGTTCCATTTTTGTCAGCCTTCAATGTAAGGAAAGAGCTGGAATAAATGCTTTTTCCTCCCTACCAGAACTTTCTCGATGGTCCTTTTCTTCAGAAGAGAACCCACTTCCTCCATGAGCAGCATCATAGAAGAAGGTTATGGAGAGAGGGTTTGTAGGGAACACAGACTGGATGCAGCAAGTGAACCATGCCCCACACCGCTGAGGAAGGCACAAACCCTCCAGGGTCTCTGCCAATCAGACCTGGGTGACAATTCCTTCCCAACCACAAATATGGTGATCCATTACACCTGGAGCATGTGGGTGAGACCCAGCAGCCAGACCCTGGAAAGAATTCTCTGTATTAATTCAGAGCCCTCCCATCTGAAACATCAGCCGCTCCAGCCATAGGCAACAGTTATGCACTGGAAATGTCTGAAGACATCAGAGAGACACAGTATAGATACCAGGTCTATCCTCAACTGGAGAAAGGGATGCTGAGGTGGCCTGGTCACTGTGGGAGCACGCCACAGCATCTGGCATTCTAAGATCAGCCCTAGGCTCAGAGAAGGTATCTGGGAGTTTAGTAATATGAACTAAAGGAATTTCTCCCTAGCTGATTCAGGCAGAGATGTCTTTGGAGGAAAGGAGTGCTTGCCTGGGGTCCTTGGCAGAGCAAGGAGTGAGATTGGGAACGTGTGGTAAGAAATTCATATTGAATCAAATCTAACGTATCAAGGTTAGCTGCTAGAAAGTTTTATATTTATTTCTCTGTGTATATCTCCTTTTGAGCATCTTATCCCTCATAATGAGAGAGAGGAAGTCTGAAAAGAGAGCCATATTGAGCAGAACTTCTAGAGAAGATCCTGCATGAAATTCTTACAGTGTCCTAATACTGCAGCTTTGGTGGGAACTAGCAGAGAAGACGGAATTATGGGTCCTGAGAGCTGTCCAGGTGGACCTTTGTGATTTAAGAGCACCTCTGAATTCACACTCTGAACATCATTGTAATAACATTAGTACAAAATATGCCTTGTGAGGTGTCATCTGAAAACTAGCGACAAGGAGTCCTGTGGCACCTCATAGACTAACAGATGTGTTGGAGCAGAAGCTTTCGTGGGCAAAGACCCACTTTGTCAGATCTGACATCTGTTAGTGTATAAGGTGCCACAGGACTCTTTGTCGCTTTTGCAGATCCAGACTAACACGGTTACCCCTCTGATACTATCTGAAAACTAGTAACTTGTTCATCAATAATATTAAACTGACATATATCTGTATGCATTATATGTAAAATTATGAATTCCTCCTTCATGATGTTGTAAGCGCTTGTTCAGATCCACAAGTCCTGGTTAAACAGGTCTTTCCTAGCCAAAATAATGTACGTTTATCTCAATTAATATGTAAGTTGTAAATGGGGGGCTCAAGACAGCACGAGGGGGAAATTGACAGTACACAATGCAAAGCCATTTTTCAGCAAACACGGGGAGAAGAAAAAGCATGGAGCTTCCCACCAGATTCCACATCACCTTCTTTATTGTTTGAATAAACGTTGTTTTGAGAGGTAATACTCAGAAGAATCCACTTCAAAGGTTGACTGGACTACAAAGTGAGGCCCCAAAGCACCCCATCCTCCGTCCTCTCTCTTTTTCACTTAAAAAGACAAAGGACTCAACCCATGGATCTGGGTGTGACCCTGACCTGAGAATTTGGTCAGCAATATTGCTGGGAACATGTGGTAAAGAATTCATGTTAAAACAAATCTAGCTTGTAAGTTTAGCTACTAGAAAATGTTTTATCTTTATTTCTATGTTTATATCTCCTTTTGAACATCTTATCCATAGTAATGAGAAAGAGGGAATCTGAAAAGAGAGCCACGTTGTTGCAGGAATTCTAGAGTAGATCCTGCATAAAATTATTTTTCATTGTGTTTGTAATCATTTCTGACCTCAATACTTTATAATTGTATGCACTTAAAATCTCTCTTCCTGTGTAGTTAAATAAACTTGTCTTATGTTTAATATAAAATAATCCATTGCTGGGTTTAAACTGGACTGTTTAGTAACTTGTTTAAAGTTACAGGTCAATATCTGAACTGCACAGGAAAGGATTGGACATTGCAGAACTCATGAAAATGTGGGTTTGGGATTGTGTTAGGGCCACCTAGCAATCAGTGGCCAAAGCTGGTGGAAGCCAGAGTGTGACTGGAAAATTGTTGACAGGCCGCTGGATCAGAGTTTCTGTGTCAGGGCTGTAGCTGTACAAAGACACTTTGGCTACGTCTAGGCTGGCATGATTTTCCGCAAATGCTTTTAACGGAAAAGCTTTTCCGTTAAAAGCATTTGCGGAAAATCATGCCAGCCTAGACGTAGCCAAAGTGTCACAGTGGAGAATTGCCTTGACAACTCTTTTGGTCACAGATCCTTCCTTTGCTTTTACAGAGCAAAGAGTAAAATACACTTCAGGTAAGCTTTTCCACAGAAGGGAAAAATAGAAGGGATGAATGAAGAGGTCTGGTTAACTAGATCACCTTACTAAGGGAACGTCATAGATGATGATTTTTATGGCACTGAAATATGATAAGAGTTGGTATGAACACAGCTGGCTTTTGCGGAAAAACGTGCCAGTCTAGACACAGCCCTGAGGTATTACCTGCATGCTGGTAGGTTGTTTGTGAGTGGCCCAGGTTGGGAGTTACACCAGCAAAGCACGGTTAGGCACCAGAGTTACAGGACAGAAGGTGACACAATCTCTCATTGGTCTGGATTGCACACTGAAGTGTGATAGCTCCATATCCCATCCCAGGCCCTTTGAAGATAAAGTGGGCAGCTCTCAGACCTGACACTTACCACATAGAGCATCTCCTTTCTACTGCAAGAAGAGCTCCCTCTTACAATTCCTCTGAGGAAAGAAAATCATACTACATGGACCAAGCAGTGCAATGCTGATTAAAAATACAGGCAGTTTCCATGGTCTCTGAGGAACTGAGCAGTATCCCGAACATAGAGATTTTGGGAGCACAGGTTTTGGCACCAACCCATGATTCCCTCTTTCTTTTTCTGGTAGGCTCAGGATCTGAGGCTTATGCCTTCTTATGGGCCCATTTTCTTTTTTCCTGCCTTTGAGGAATGAAGACAGTGGAGCTGAAGCCTCCATGCAGGAGGTCTGTATCACTGTATTTAAATAGCCAGTACCAGTATTTGAGGATGTTGACTCGCCTGGGCTATATCTACACTGGCGTCTTCTTGTGCAAGAACATCTTGTGCAAGTATTCTTGTGCAAGAACTCTTGTGCAGGAACACATCCACACTGCCATGTGCAAGATGTGCTTTTGGGCAAGAGCATCCATGGCAGTGTGGACACTCTCTTGCACAAGAAAGCTCTGAGAGCCATTTTAGCCCTTGGGCTTTCTTACGCAAGAAACCCCTGCCACGTGTCCACACTGCCCTCTTGCACAAGAGCTCTTGTGCAAGAGAGCTTACATCTGTCAGAAGAGTGTAGCTCTTGTGCACGAAGCCCTCACTTACCATGCTATACTGTAAACCTTCTTGCGCAAGAGCAGGTGGGCAGTATGGACACTGTGGAAGAACGGCCGTTCTTGCACAATAACCCGCCAGTGTAGACATAGCCCTGGATTATTGGCATTACAGAAGGTCTCCTAAGCCTCTGGTACTTTTGGCAATGTTGGCATCTCAGAGATGATACTGAAAATTCCTGGTTGTCCTGAAATCTCAGATGACATCAAAGATTTGCCCCCCACCTGCGCACACTCTTGTGTGAGCAAATCTCGGTGCTGAGTTTCACTGTGCCAAACCAGAAACTTTCCTCGGATCACTTGCAGCTATTCTGATACTTCCAACTGGAACTATGCTCAGGAAGGCTAGACAGGGAAAAAAGGGAGGAGGTGTTGCCTTATATATTAAAAATGAACACGCTTGGAGTGAGGTGGAGATGGACATAGGCAACGGAAGTGTTGAGAGTCTCTGGGTTAGGCTAAAAGGGGTTAAAAACAAGGGTGATGTCATGCTAGGCATCTACTACAGGCCACCTACCCAGATGGAAGAAGTGGATGAGGCTTTTTTTAAACAACTAACAATATCATCCAAAGCCCAAGATTTGGTGGCGATGGGGGACTTCAACTATCCAGATATATGTGGGAAAATAACACTGAGGGGCACAGACTATCCAATAAGTTCTTGGACTGCATTGGAGACAACTTTTTATTTCAGAAGGTTGAATGAATAAATAGGGAGGAGCTGGTTGAGAATTTGAAAGTGGAAGGCAGCTTGGGTGAAAGTGATCCCATCAAAAAAATATATTGGAAATGGAAGAGGTACAGAAAAGGGCAACAAAATGATTAGTAGGCCACAGGTTTAATCAATCTTATAAGATTATCATTATATAGTAATTTACCCTGTGTCTTCCAATTTTGCTCTGGCTATGCCCCAGGGGGCCACAAACAGAACTGGAACAACTGTTGGAAAGAAAATGGGCAGATTAGAACTAGGTTTTCAAGATGTTCAATACAAAACATAGACATACGACAGCTGTGCTTGATGATCCTCTACATAATGGTTTTCATTCTTTTCAGGATCATTGTGACTCTTAGAAATCCTCAGTGCTGGATGACAAAGAGTTCATTTTGGACTCATCAAATGTTTCCAATTATGTCTGACAAGCTCACTATATCTAACACACTGTTTTCCTAGTATTTATCCAGAAATAGTAAGATATCAAATGAAAGATGGTGATATACTAGTCATTAATATCATGGTGAAATAAATGGTAACACTATATAAAGATTTATGTACACCTACTGAAAATATATTTTAAACTTTGTAACAAGGCAGAGTTGACAAGCAGGTATTCTGACAGACAAAGCAGCTATTTCTACACTGGCAGGCTACGTCTAGACTGGCCCCTAATTTCGGAAAAGTCATACAAAGCAGGTAAGTCAGAATAGGGAAATCGGCGGGGGATTTAAATATCCCCTGCGAGATTTAAATAAACATGTCCGCCGCTTTTTTTCAGGCTTGGGGAAAAGCTGGAAAAAAGCGTCTAGACTGGCGCGATGCTCCGGAATAAAGCCCTCCGGAATAAGAGATCCTCCGGAAAAGGGCTTTATTCCGGAGGATTGCGCCAGTCTGGACGCTTTTTTCCGGCTTTTCCCCAAGCCAGAAAAAAAGCGGCGGACATGGTTATTTAAATCCGCGGGGGATATTTAAATCCCCCGCGGATTTCCCTATCCTGACTTACCTCTATTCTGACTTACCTGCTTTGCATGACTTTTCCGGAATTAGGGGCCAGTCTAGACGTAGCCACAGCGTCTTGCGCAAGAACTCTTTTGCGGAAGAGTTCTTGTGCAAAAACTCTTCCAGAAGAGAGCGTCTACACTGGCATGTGCTTTTGCACAAGAGATGTATTTTTGGGCAAGAGAATCCATGCCAATGTAAATGCTCTCTTGCACAAGAAAGCTCTGATGGCCATTTTAACCATAGGGCTTTCTTTTGCAAAAAAATCATGTTGCCTGTCTACACTGGCCTCTTGTGCAAGAACAGTTGTGCAAGAGGGCTTATTCCTGAGCGGGAGCATCATAGTTCTTGCTCAAGAAGCACTGATTTTATACAGTAGAACGTCAGTTTACGTGCACAAGAAATTGTGGCCAGTGTAGCCAGGCAGCAACTTTTTGCACAAGAGTGGCTGCTTTGGCGCAAGATTGCGCCAGTGTAGACACAGCCAGCATGTCTTTGATGTAAATTAAGGATTGCAAGTCATTACACTGGCATCTTCATAAGCATAGAGCACCAATGGAGGATGCAAAAATCAATGTGGAAGAATAAATTAAAGAACAAACAGCTGGAGTGCATTGCAAAGGGCTATATAGCTGGGGGAACAAATAAGACATTTTGTGATCCTTTCATGGAAGTATCTCATTGAAAGACATGGCATGCTCATGTAAGCTTGGATCCTGGTTTTGACTGAAAACCAGCAGCTCTGTCAAAGAAAAAAATCTTCGGGAGAAAATCTCTCTTAAATAGGAAAAGTAACCATTAATAAGTGTAGACTCAGAATTGTGTTTGAAGTTTTGTTTATATATGTAAACATTTCAGTTTCCAGAGCTCTGACACCAGAGCTATGTAGATTAGTTTAAACATGTAAATGAAGCCGCAATTATTTAAATCGCGGCTTCATTTGGGTATGTCTAGTAAACTAAACTACATGGCTCTGGTGACAGAGCCATGTAGTCTAGCCATACTCTAGTAGTGCTGCATTATTATAAAGCTGTTGATTGTGAGTTGTACCAGTGGAGCAGTGTGTACGCTGTGTCCTCAGGCACAGCTTGCCTGGAAATGGCATGGGCTGTTTTGAGCACTAGGAGTTGGTGAGAGTCTATCACTACCTGCACAGAAAGGGTGAGATCTGCAGCGATCTGAAAGTCAGGGCTTGATTGTGGCAGAAGCTGTTGCTTTCAGGGACATGAGCTACAGCAGGCAAGACCAAACGGCCAACCCTTGTTGTAAACCTGTGGCAAAGCATGTCTCAACTCTGGGTGGTACCCCAGAAGCATTACAACCATCTCAGGAAATTACACAGTGAGAATCACCTGTTTGGCGTTTGTTGTTTCCATAACAAGGACCATATAAAGACTCCTCTCAGAGCCAGTTGAGTTACGAAATGTACACAAACATGTCAGGCCTAACTAAATACAAGGTGCTGCTCTGAGTGGAGCCTTGAAGATTCAGCCATAGAACAAGATGAATGCCACTAGTGGCCTCACAAAGTATTTAAAGGAACACTTGTTCCCAGGTAAATAATTATAGCACCTCTCTTATTCGTCAAGGAGGCTACCCTGGAATCATTTTCTTAGCACTCGTTCTGTCCTCTCTGACAGGCCATGCCCTCCTGGGTGGTGCAATATGCTTGTAATGTATCATAAATCTGAACTGTCAAGCTGTAGCCCTACTGTCAATGACTGTTTCTTCATAGTGCCCAAATTAGAAAAACCCCACCCTGCTCATTTTCTATGTCCATTCATAGATTACTAGGCCCCATGTGGGCTGCAGTCCCTGGAGGGAGAGGGGAAGTATTGGCAAAGGGGCCCCTAAGGATTACGGGGGGAGGTGGACTGTGGGTGGGGGGGGGAAGCCCTGTCCCGGGGGTTCTGCAGTCCTGCCGTCACACAGTCCTGCAGGGAGGGCAGGCTTCATAGGGGGTTAATTCCTGGGGTGTTTGTGGGGGAGAGGGGACCTCCTAAGGGCTCACGCAACCCCTTTGTTGCTCTGTTTTGAGTCTTTATTTGTTTCTTTCTGCAGATGGTGAGGGCCATAAACACTGTCTTGCTGCGCCTGGGAGAGCTGGACCCCATCGTGGCCGGATTTGTTATCCTGGGCGTCCCCAAGTGTGGTGGGGGATAGATGGCACCCACACTCCCCAGCCATGCACCAGAACACCATGCCACCTTGTATATAAACCACAGTGGATATTTTTCCAGGGTCTTGCAGGCCCTCATTGACCACCACAGACAGTTTGGTGACTTTTTCATCAGCTAGTCGGGGAAGGCACACAATGCCCATGTCTTCTGCCACTCCAGCCTGTGCCAGCAGCAGAAGGCTAGCACTTTCTTACTCAAGCGCAACGTCAGAGTCAGGGACATGGAGATGCCAGAGTGCACTGTGGGGGATGCAGCCAATCCCCTCATACTGTGGCTAATGAAGCCGTATACCAGCCAGCTGGACCCAAATAGGGACTTTTATTGCCCGCCTGGGCAGGGCCCGCATCCAGGCAGAATGTGCCATTGGCTGCTTGCAGGCATGGTTTAGATGCCTCTTGACCCGCCTTGATGTGAGGGAAGCACAATATCCCCCCAGTAGTGTCAGTCGGTTGTGTCCTCTACAACATTGTTGACAGGAAGAGGGAGGCCTTCTTCCGGGGGGCGGGGGGGGACAGAGGCCCGCCAGGAGGGGGGGGCCTTGGAGCAACCACACACAGCTACCCTCCACCAGGCCCATCAACTGAGGGTGCGAATCCAGGAGACCCCGAGGGAGATTTTCTCTGACGGATGCCAGTAACTCTCCCCAGGGCCTCCCCCCTAGGGCTGTGTCTAGATTGCACCCCTTTTCCGTAAAAGGGATGCAAATTAGACACAGTGCAATTGCAAATGAAGCAGGGATTTAAATCTTCTCCGCTTCATTTGCATAAACATGGCTGCCGCTTTTTCCAGCTCAGGGCTTTGCCGGCAAAAAGTGCTAGTCTAGACGGGGATCTTTCGGAAAATAAAGCCTTTTCCAGAAGATCCCTTATCCCTCTTAAAATCAGGAATAAGGGATCTTCCACAAAAGGCTTTATTTTCCAAAAGATCCCGTCTAGACTGGCGCTTTTTGCCGGCAAAGCCCCGAGCCGGAAAAAGCGGCAGCCATGTTCATGAAAATGCTGCGGGGGATATTTAAATCCCCCACGGCATTTGCAATTCTGACTTGTCTCATTAGCATCCCTTTTCCAGAAAAGGGTGCCAATGTA